TTTTTTTTTTTTTTTTTTGGAACACAGTTGTTTCCTTCCTGAATGTTGAAGATAAGATTTCTACACCCACCGGGTGTTGTGGCGCACGCCTTTAATTCCAACTCAGGAGGCAGAGGCAGGTGTATCTCTGTGAGTTGCAGACCAGCTTGGTCTACATAGTAAGTTTCAGGCCAGCTGGGGCTATAGGGAGACTCTGTCTCAAAAAGACCAAAAAAAAAAAAAAAGATTGCTATAGCTGCATCACAGTATTCAATGGTGAAATCTTGTCTGTTACTGTCATTTTCATTCCTTTCATTTAGAATCAAAATAAAGTTGCATTTCAAATATCTAAAAAGAAAATGGGGAGAAAAAGCGAAAACAAACAAGCAAAACTGAAACAAAAAGAATGTCACCTCAGGTCATCCTCCCTTGACATGGCATAGGGGTTTCTAGTTTGCTGTCTCCATATGGCAGCTGTTCACAAATTCTAATCAAGCATCTGACAATTTTCTTGACCTCTGTCATATCATAAAACCTTTCTTCCTCAGCTTCAGGTAGAGAGTTGCCTTGCAGATGGGAGTTTTGAGAGACCAAAATGGGATCCCTTCCAAAGGCCAGGACCAGATTCAATGCACTGGGAGGAAGGTTTAGAGAGAAGGTTTAGGAGAGCCAGAGCACAAGGGAGACAGAGAACCAATGACTTTGTCGGTTCTTTTTCTGTGTGAGTGGCTGGCAATGTTGTTATCAATTAGGTAATTCATTATCTTTTATTGTCATATTTGTTAAAGGATTTCAAGCTTGACTGTTACAGAGGCAACGTGGTTTTAATACAAAAAGAATCATTAAAGGTAATAGAGATAATGGGAGCAAAGCGTTATATTCAACAGAGAATGCTAAGTCTTCATCAGAAAGAGCAGAAAATTTACAGTGAGATAGTCTTCTTTGGATCCCTCAAGGACAAAAGAAGAGGGAATCCTCAGAACTTAAGTACCCGATAGAGGCAGGCTTTACCATAAGGAAGCCAGGGCTTCTCGCCCTGGCTGAATTGGTTCTGCTTGGTGGCAAGCTTCCAGGAAGCCAGACCCTTCCTGCTCAAATGATGTGGTTTCCTAAGGGACATATAAATAGTTCTCTTCCCAAGAAAAGAGTTAAAGACAGAAGCTAGGACCCTGCCATGCATTAGAGTGCAGCTGTCCATGTGGGCAACAAAGGAGCAGCACTGGTAAAAGGGCAAACTGGGCAAACGTGGGACGAGGTTGCTAGAACTGTGGCAAGTGTGTGTGGCACAAGGAGACATACTAGGGCACAGAGCAGAGACCACAGTGCAAAGAAGAGCAGCGGGCACTGCCCAGATGATAAGAAAAGGGGAGGGCAGACCATCACAGAGGTCTGAGGAAAGCAAGCAGAACACACAAGAACTTTACAAGGATATGAAACCAGGACAACAAAGACCTTCTAGAAACAGACTGCACTACAAGTCAAGTTATTACATAAACTGCATGCATTCTCTTAAGAAATTTGGGAGAAAAATAAAAGCATAATGGCGCCACATCATGATTTTGCCATCATTCAGGGAGGAAACTGCCTGGATAAGTCACCACACTGCCCAACAGGAGCTAGGGCTCCCACCCTCATCCCTGGGACAGATTCAACGTTTAGAAGGCAGTTCAAAATCCTGGGCAGATCCCACTGCCTCTTAGAGTTACATTTCATAAAACTAGTCAAAGAATCTACACTGTACATGTCGAAAATACAAAACAAGGTCTGTTTCATCAGGTTTCAATCCAAGCAGCATTATAGTTTCATAAGCTAGTTGCTTGATCATCTAGGAGATTTTTTGAAAATTTACTATCAGACATAATTTTCCACAATATTTTCTTGTGTAACCTCACTAAGGGAATATTACTAAATATAAATAATAATTTGAAGTTGTTGGTATGCAGGCAATTTAATGATCCACTATCCTTCAAATAAGTTATATAATACTCTGTGCTTTACTATTAACAATTCATTTTCTGAATTCCTTGAACTTCCAATAATGATTTTAATTTATTTTGTTGTAACCATTTATTGTTGGTAGCCATAGGTAAAACTACTAAGACCAAGTGTTATTACATTTCTTCCTCCACATCGGTGGGTTCTGCATCTGTGGAAGCAACAACCTCAGACTGGAGATATATTTTAAGGAAGGACAAGATGGCTCAATGAGTAAAGGCACTTGCCACCAAACTTGACCACCCAAGACCCATCCCTGGGGGACTCATAAAGGGCAAGGAGAGAAGTGACTCTGCAAGTTGTCCTCTGACCTCCACATGTTTGCCATGACACATGCATACCCAAACACACACACACACACACACACACACACACACAATGTAATAAAAATTTAAGGAAATAATTTTAAAATTTCCTCTATACCAGACATATACAGACTTTTTTTTTGTTATTTCCTAAATAATATAGTGGAGCACATTTTTACACAGAACTTACATTAGACATTGTAAATCATCTAGAGATGATTTATAGTATGTGTGAGAATGTGTGCAGGTTATATACAGTTACCATGCCACTTTACAAAGGACTTGGGCATGCAAAAGATTCTAGTACCCATGAGGGTCCTGGAAGCAGTCTCTGGTAGATACATTGGGGAGTGTAGTATATTTTCAGTATTTAATTTTCTGGTTGTTATGGCTAAATACCTGACAGGAAGCAACTTAAGGGAGTAAGGATTTATTTTGGCTCAGAATGCCGAGTACAGTACATTGCAGAGTGAAGACACGGTGGCTGGTATGGTACTGTGGAGATTGGAGCTTGCTCACATCTAGTGGATCAGGAAACACAGAAAAGGGGATGCCTGCATAATGATGTCAGTGTAATGGTGCAGTGGCTTTCTCCCTCTACTCTTTTTATTTAGTTGGGAACCCCAACCCATGGGATAGTGTTGCTCACAGCAACCCGCGCCCCCCCAATTAATACTCTCTGGAAATGCCCTTGACAGGTACTTCCAAAGGCATGCCTCATTAGTGCCCAAGGTTCTTGAAAAGTTTCTTATCAATCCAGTTGACCATCAAACTTAACCACCACAATATCTTTATTACTATGGCAGTGTGAGGAACCAGCTGAGAGGCAAAGGCTACAGCAACTGTACCAGTGACATCATCTGTCCTCAAATCTTATATCCAGTGCTTATTAGCTGCATGGCCTCTAGCAAGTCACTGACAGTTTCCAAAGCTTTATTTCCTCATTGTGAAAGGGGCTGATAGCAGTGCCTTCCTCACAGAGCTGTTTAGGGATCCTCACAGAGCTGTTTAGGGATTAGATATGCATAGACTAGCACCTGAATAGACACTTGTTAGTGAGTCAGAAGGCTCTTAGCAGAGTGCCTGCCTGATTATCAGGTAACACACTATGTTAACTATTATTGCCTATCACTGCTATTGTAATTTGATTACTTGTTTGTATTAGGGATCGGCAAAGTGCACTAGTAGGCCCAGCAAAGCCCATATTTTCAAAAGCCTGGAAGATCATACACCAACGACATAATCTTTATTATTTTTGATACTGAATTTATCTCAATTTGACAGTTCTATCCCTTTGTATTTACTAGGGTTGAAAATATGTCGATGAGGTTGGAGGAAATCAACGAAAGAGAAAATTTCATGAAAACTTCTCTACAGACTGTTGATCTTCGACTCTCCCAGCTCGAAGAGCTCTCTGGCAGGATGGTGAACGCTCTGGAAAATCTGGCGGGCATAGACAGCTCGGACCTGATTCAGGCGCGCTCGCGCGCATCCTCAGAAGGCGAGGCAACTTACCTGCTGCGGCAGGGCAGCATCAACAGCGCAGACGGCTACAGCTTGTACCGTTACCATTTCAACGGGGAGGAAGTGCTGTTTGAGGAGCCTTCTCTCTTGTCTCCAGGGACAGCATTTTGCAAGAAAACCTGCTCCTTCCGTGTTAAGGACGAGGATGCGAAAAGCCGCCTTGCCCCGGAGCAGCAGAGCAGCCTGCACTTTCCCGCGGGCCCCAGCCCGCCCACAACCCCAGGCCGCAGCCGGCTGGCAGTGGAGGGCTCCAGCACCCAGCCCAAATTAGGTCCAGACATCGGGATTTCAGCCGGAGATGATGAAAGGCAGGCTGACTGTGAAAGACCAGACACTATTGCCCCAAGTCTCAATTCAGCAGCTGTTATGCCCCGACAGAACAAAGCAGACTTTGCAAGCACTCAGCTGATGGTGGAAACGACCATGGAAGGCACCCTTTCCTATCCTCTGGAAGAAAGCAAACTGGCAGGCCGGTACCCCGAAGAAGCGGCCAGCACCTGCAAACAGGCTAAGCCCAGTAGCTTTGTCTACTCCGAGGGAAGAAAGCTGGTCCCAGGCCTCAAGAACTGGAGTGTCGGGTACAGTTCCATCATGGACCAAGCGTGGAATTTCCACTCCACAGAATGGAAGTGCCAAGTTCAACGGATCACGCGCTCGCGCAGCACAGACATCCCCTGCATGGTGTCCGAAGCTGCAGTACAAGCTGAGCGCAGAGAGCAGTTGGCAGACGAGGGCCAGAGCTTTGCTTCCCACACAGCTTCTCCGATCTCCCGTTTATCCCTCGCTGTCACTGACAGGACTGAGAAGGAAAACTTACTGTCCGTGAAACCACACCAAACGCTGGGGTTCCCATGTCTAAGGTCAAGAAGTTTACATAGCCATCCTTGGAATGTCAAAGCCACCCCTGGCAGGTTAGACAGGTCTGGACCTGCTGGCAGTGTAAGTAGCTTAGTAGTTGTGTCTGCAGTCACACCTGAGGAACCAAAGGCCAAGCAGGAGAAAACTTCCACAGAAACTGAATGCTAGTGTGGTTTTTTTGTTTGATTAAAACAATGAAATACAAATAACAAAAATCACACAACCCCCGGTGGGTGCCATTTTGACCATTAAAACATCATCAATTTCTGAAAATGTTTTCATTTTAAAATGGTAGAAATCTGGACTTAATTTAAATTGTAATGTACTTAAAGTATTTTGTTAGCACAATTTAGGAAACCAAGTTGTTTGTTGGAGTAGAATCTAAGGAAAGTGATGCTGTGCCAAGCTGGGGCTGAAGCGTAGTTGTATTAGTACTTGATTGCTTAGTAAAACTAAAACCCCTGAGTTCAAACCCACTGTGAAGTGGTGCACACCTGTAATCCCAGCACCAAGGAGGTGGATGCAGGAAGATCAGAAGTTCAAGGTCATCCCTGGTCACATAGTGAGTCTGGGGCCAAAAAAAAAAAAAAAAAAAGAAGAAGAAAAAGACACCATGCTAATGGAGATAATTAGTTAATCAGTATACAAGATTGCACGATCTCTTTTTTCCTGAAGCCACCTAACAACCTAACAGAGACCTGAGGTACTTTAGCCTTCATTGAATCATTTAAAGAGTAAGAAAAATTAAAGAGAAGGCAGACACAAGATAAAGAGAGAAAATGAGATTAAGATGTGTTAAGAAGTGAGCTGTACATGTCATGTTTTATGAGGGGTTTTATTGATTTTATGTTTTAGATTTCACAAAGGGAGAAAGTACACAATTATATCAAATATCTAATAATGTAGGGTGACTGAGAGTCACATATGAGGTTACACAATATACATTTTCTTGTCATTGTAGTCCTCAACACAAAAACCAAATTATTGTATCTTTCTCTAAATAATGGTCTGTGCCAAGCTGTTGGTAAAATCTAGAGGCTATAGGTTCAAGAACCAGAGACTGCTCAGCGCTGAGAACCCGAGGTGTTATGCTTCAGCTTGAAGTTCCACAGAATAAAGAGATGGATGCCTGATAAGGGAATGTTTTTTTGAGAATAAAGAATAGGATTGCAATGGGACACATGCTGTGGAGAGGATAGAATCTAGTACCTCAGAGAACAAAGGAAAGGTTGGGGGTTTTATTAGGACAGACAACTCCTTCCTCCACATGGTCACGCCTCCTAAAGGTTCCATTACTCTCCCCAAAGAGCACCACAAACTGGGGACCAAGTGCCCAAATACTTGGAGCCTACGGGAAACACTCAAATCACCACTAATGCTAAAGGTAGCGAGCAGGTATGATTACACAGGAATAACATTGAATCTTTTTCTTAAAATAAGACTGAGACTCCAATGGCCTCACCCTGTGTCCCTGCTCAGCATGGAAGAAGCCAGAGTGGTCTGCGTCCCCATTCCAAAAAACTATTAGCAATTTGGGTAGCCCCTTCAGAGGATGGTGTGATAAGAATAGGAGGTAGGAATTGGCTAGGCACTTAGGGTAAAAAGACTCCAAAGAAATGTAGCCAGTTTCCTGGCTAAAAGCCAAAATGTACTTGGGCCTGTTAGCAACATACTCTGTTCCAAAGGCCAAAAATGTCAAAAGTATTTGGGAGCTTGTATCTAATCCTTAAAAGATTTCAGGGTTACCTCTTCAGAGAGGGGAATGTTGGAGGGGAGGGAGTGGGCATGGATTTGATCAAAACACTTTATATACATGTATGAAATTCTCAGTAAAGTTTTTGTAAAAGTTTAAAAAAAAATAAAGTTATTCAACACAGAAGAAAAAAAAAATAGGACTGAGATTTTAATAGATGAGAACCCCTGAACTGTGCTGAACTTATCAAAGAACTGATCTATCCTACCTGGTTGGGGGGGGTCTTTGAAATTAATAAATTATAACATTTATTTAGTAAGTAAAACTATTACTTGTTTTCATATTGCTGCATGGAGAGTATTCATTCCTGATGTGTATAACCCGTGTTGTAGCTACTGCATCTTCTCTCATTCCTAAACCTTGCCTTTTAATAACAAAAACTTGCAGATTTGGGGGTTGGAGAGATGGCTCAGCAGTTAAGAGCACTGGTTGCTCTTGCAGAGGAACTGGGTTCAGTTCCCAGCACCCACATGGCAACGAACAACTGTCTATAACTCTACTTCCAGAGGATCTGATACCTTCTTTCCTCCACGGGCATTTTACACATTTTACACTCACATACATGCAGGCAAAACACTCATCATATTCATAAAATAGAAATAAATAAGCAAATAAAAACTTTCAGCATTTCTTGAGTCCTAGAAAGGAAAAGATTTCTCCAAACAGCTTGAGGATCTATACTCAACAGAGCTGTCTAAGGAAAATATAGCTTATCTCTGGAATTCTCCACTCTGTCCATCACACAGGGCCCCTTTGCTGAGAGTTCTCTTACCTTGCTTTGGGTGAGGGACATATGCCCCATCCCCTTAAGTCTTCCTAAGATTTGTGGCACTTGTCTTATCAAGGCTTAAGCCACTCATTCAGCTCAGGAATTCTGAGGGTCAGGAATCCACAGACACAGCAGCTAATCAACATCCTGATTTGAATGCTTGCTGATTCTGTGGTATAAATGCTCCTGCCAGTTTCAACCTACCAGTGTGGCACCCCAAGCGTGGACATGGGAAGGAATGCCAACAATTGCTTATTGCAAGCCAGGACAGGTCAACAACAGCACATCATGGTCTCCATGCCATAGCCTTTTGGGAAAGACTCAGCATCTAGAGGTGACTCAATAATTAGGGGTCAAAATCCTATTGGAGACATTTTAATACATTCCTGAAAGCAGAGACTGGCATTTATCTGAGATCTCCATCTTGGAATAGAGCACCTGGCCAGTCTCCCAAGGAGATCCAGGTTTCTTCATAGTAATTAGACTTCTCACATGGTGGTGCTGGGTTCCAAAAGTGAGTGTAGCTTCAAGCAGGGAGGAAGCATCAGCGTTTTCTGTGACAGAAGTCAGGCAGACTCACTCTGCTCTGAGTTCTGTTGCTTACTTACAATTGCCATCACTAAAGCCACCTCAGATTCAAGGGGTGGGACACAGGAACTTGAAAATCATTGCTGGTGTGCTTTAAAGTGACTTGTCTTTCATTGCAATTGTGCCATCTGCACGTTCCTTGGCACTGTGGTATCTGTTTTTGGTTTTACTTGAAGTTCTTTTAAATCTGTATTAATCTGTTGATTGCCCATCAGTCTCAATCTCTTCCTTACAGTTTATTTGGTGAAGATCATGGGCCTTGGCTTCCCAAGTCCCCTCTAGAATACATTTTACATCTTGGATACTCATGAGAAGTTTGGCACATTCTTCAGGTCCTGCACACTGGCAGGGGGAGTCACAGGACTGCTTAGACTTGGGTTTTCAGTAGAATAAAAAGAAAATTAAGGGACAGGAGAAGAAAAAGAAGCCCCTCAGCCTGGAATCTCATTTGCCTTTCTTTCTGAATGAGAGCCAAGAATTTCAACAGAATTGATAAAGCCAAATTTGCCAGCAAAAAAAGTGTGTTTTCCTAAAGACATTCAAACAAGGATGCTAAAACAGCAAATAAACCACTCCAGAATGTGTGTGACCTTGAGTTTTACCATATTAGCACTCCTCACTCATCCCTAAATCTAAGTAATACAGCTTCTAAGGCCACCCTATAATTTTATTTTCAAAAGGAAATTTTTTAAGATAAGAAAAATAAGCAAACCAGCTCACATTTTTAACCTAATTTTAAAAATTACTTAAATTTAAGCTTTGTATAATCTTTAAGCCTTGTTGTAAATCACATCCTTTTAACAACATAACTTAGAAAGCCACAGAATCATAAATATAGCCACCACAAAGACATCTAAGAGTGACTCTCTCTTAAAAAGCTCAAATGCAGCCAGGCATTGTGGTGTATGTCTTTAATCCCACCACTGGAAAAGGAGAGGCAGGCATGAGATGGAGGCCAGCCTGGTTTACATAGTGAGTTCCGGGCCAGCTGGAGCTACAGGGAGACCTTGGCTAAAAAAGAGTTCAAATCCACTTTTGGATTACATAGTGTCTGTCCTTAAATCTAAAGTGTGTACTCTCCCTTATACATGCTGACTTTGCTTCAACCTGGTTCGTCCTAAAATTCTTTTCTGTGGCATAGTCAATTGCCCAGCTTTACCTGAGTGGAGGTTACTAAAACAGAAAGGAGCTCTTTGGGCCACTGGCAGCAGTGATGGGCAGTATCTTCCCAGGACTCCAAGCTCTGCTGACAGTTTGATGCCTCTGACCAGATGGTGTCACCCCACCCATCAAGACACCCATGTGTTCTTGTCTTTTGTTGTCTCAGCAGATGTTGATGCTCAATTGATTGATTCCTTCATTCATCGATCAAAAGTTATAATGTGGGGTGGTGAGATGATTCAGCAGGTAAGGATACTTGCTGCCAAACCTGATGACCTGAGTTTGATCCCAAGATCCCAGGAGAAAACTGACTCTCACACAAGTTGTCATCTGACTTCCTAATGTGTATCATGCCCAACCCCTATACAAATTAATTAATGTAAATAAAGTTGTAACATCCAAATTCTATTATTTCTTTTGGTTTGCTTGTAGGAATACTTCATAAAGAGATGAGTCCTGTTCCAGTTTGTTTTTCCATTGCTGTGACAAAACACTCTGACCGATACCAACTTGGGGAGGAAAGGGTTTATTTAGCTTACATCTCCCAGGTCATA